TGGACACCCTGTATATATATATATATATATATATATATATATATATATATATATATATATATATATATATATGGGAATTGAACTATCATTGGATCGGGCGTGCCTAACCGCTCGGCCACATAAGACTTACAGGGAAACAAAGTCGGAATCGTTCAGACAGATAGATAGATATTGAACAGAACGAGACAGACAGACAGACAGATAGATAGATAGATAGATAGATAGATAGATAGATAGATAGATAGATAGATAGATAAACAGACAGACCGACAGAACGACACCGTTAGATAGATAATAAACAAAACAAAATGGATATTGAACAGAACTAGATAGATAGATAGATAGATAGATAGATAGATAGATAGATAGATGAACAGAACAACACCGATAGATAGATAATGAACAAAACAAGAGAGATATTGAACAGAAGTAGATAGATAGATAGATAGATAGATAGATAGATAGATAGATAGATAGTTTAATGTATGCTATGTTTATGGGTTAAAGTGTTTAATATCAGAGATACAGCGTATGTAAAATAGAAGCTGAAGTATAATCGTTACCGTTTACCAAATAAAAGGTAAGATAATACACTACACTTTGCTACCCAGAATGCAACATTGATATTGCGTAAATATTGTCATTATTTTTTTAATTATCTCCTTTCCAAAAAGATATACTACATTAGGTACCTCTATTTGGTCACAAAAAGCAGTATAGCATGATAAAAAAGACCCTAAACAAAGTTAAAAAATTGAAAAGCTCATAATAATCGTTTGAGCCAATATATTTTTAAAAGAATTTAAAAAAAATAATTTTTAATGTATAGAGAATTCCTAATCACTACCTATGGGAAGCTATACACGACATGACCCTTAAAAAGGTCACGTGACACTTTCCTTATTCAATTCTGTTTCATCATTAACCTCTTTATAAATCATCCTTTCAAAATTTCAAAGTAAAATTTAAATTTAAAGTACTATAAAAATTAATGTAAGAACATTTTATATTATTTTAAATTTTATTATTTTTTTCGTAATGCATCTACGTTACGTTTGAACGTAACTAAATAAAATATTAGATAATTGCTGAAAATATTATGTTAATTTGGAAAAATTGCTAGGTAGCTAAAAATAAAAAAATGCGTTCACCTAGATTTCGTAAATTTGTCAATTCTTGTCATCCATACTAGCTGTCATCACCTCGTAAATTATCAGTGATGTCGATAACGTCAATAAAGACATGATCAAAAGAAAAGGCGTTGTTAAAAAATGCTTGTATATATATTTTATGATATAAGTAACATTTGTTTCAAATCAGATTAATTTAACTTTAAATTTGCTAATTTTACTCAAATAACGTGTCACAAATATATTTTTTATTTTTGGAAAATTTTAAAAATCGATATTTTTGTTTTGTTTACAAATTTCTTAAAATTAAGAAAATGGCCGTTTTTAAGAAAATCTTCTTAAATCGACCGACAAGTTGAAATTCCAATCTATATAATTTATTATTTAAAATACACCAGGATATTTTAATTAATGTAAATAGCAAATTTAATCATTTAGCTTTCAATTAAAGCTAAAATGAAATCTTCAAGAATGCTTTTTCATTTTTAAAAATGAATTTTAAACTTTAGGTATAGAAAATTCAGTGGCAGGCCCTATATTACATCCCCAAACCAACAGACATGACCATCAAAAAAAAAAAAAAATATTGAAATAAAACGATTAAGTTCAAAACCTTCTCATTTAAAATTAATCCAACATCATTTATTCATTTTTGTTTATAAGACATTAAATTACATCACTTAGCGTACTCTCTCTCTCTCTCTCTCTCTATATATATATATATATATATATATATATATATATATGTCTATATTTCTGAGATGAGGTAAATAAAGGGTTCAGTCCGACACTCCAACCACCGGAAGAAGGCCGGAGCGTACAACGGCCGAAACGTTGTAATAAATATGGCAACAAAGATGAGGAAAATAGTCCGAATAATGTAAATAGTATATATATATATATATATATATATATATATATATATATATATATATATATATATGTGTAACAGCAAAATTATCCGAATCGTGTAACAGCAAAATTGTCCATTTGTGAGATTAAGCTTTGAACCGTTGTATCCTAAAAATGATTAAAGATATCTTACTGGAATACTCCGAGGTTTTTACAACACTACCAACAATAAGTTGAAAATGATGATCCCTCATACGGATCCAGTTTTCTTCTACTGTTCTCAGTTCTAAAATTATTTACCGTTCTCTTGATTGTTCTTGAATCGACTTTGGAGATGGAAGCCAGAATATGAATGTCGATACCGTTACTGAAGACCTGAATGATCTTTTTCCTCTCATCATTGCTCAGTTAGGAAGACACGGGGTTGAGGTTGAAATAAAATGATGTTATCCTGTTCTCTCTCTAGCTGAATAACTCAAAGGTTTTTTTCCAGTGATTCTTACGACAAATGGTGTCAAGATGGCTAAATGTCTTATATGAAAACCTGGAAAAAAGAAACTTAATTAGTTTCGTATATATATATATATATATATATATATATATATATATATATATATATAACAATCGAAAGTGCTGGTAAAACTTACAAACTCAACCAACACAATCCTTACAAAACGTAAACAGTTGAAACGAGAAAACGAAAAACATTTGAGGAAATAAAATAAAAAGACAAACAAAAAAAACCATTAACAAAAGAAGCAACAAGAAAAAAAACGACAGAAATGACAAAAATATATATATATATATCAAAATACAGAAATCTTTCTACATAATGGCCGAAGGTGCTCGAAATGACCAAGACAGAGCAGTAATCCTAACCAACAACATCGCATAATAGAGACTCAATTCAAATCGCTACTCTTCAATTACTAGCGCCCCTGATGATAACGTCACAAAAAACAACAACAACAAAAAAACTTATTCTGAGTAGCAATTTGAAATGAGTCTCTTTTGTAAGGTTTTCGACCAACAAAGAAACCTTTTAAAAAAAATGAATGTTTGGTCAAATCTTCCGAAGCGTGTTGAGATGAAATTCTTTTCAGTTTGTCCTGCTTAGTATCATGAAAGGAAACAGATGGTTGCATCTAATTTTTGACCTCAGATTATAAATGACGCGCCTTTCTTTTCTTCTTCGTCTGTTCATTTTCTCATTGGAGATGATAATGTAGCTGGGCAGTGGTGAATATGCCGCTCAGGCAAGTCTCGTATCTTGCAGATAAGAAAATATTTTCTTATCGCACGCACAAACTTTAATTCTGTACTGACCGGACAAATTAATTATGCAAAGACAGATGCAAAATTTCCCTGGGACACAGGCTTCAACGGCCCATATACGTTACGTCATCTATAGAGACACAAGCGGAGGGAGATGGCAACGCATATCTATCTATCTATCTATCTATCTATCTATCTATCTATCTATCTATCTATCTATATAAGTCTGTTCATATATATATATATATATATATATATATATATATATATATATATATATATATTTATCTATCTATCTATCTTCACATCTATGTATCTATCTATCGAAAATCTATTTCAAATCTATCTATCTATCTATATACATCTATGTATCTTTTTTATCTATATATATATATAAATAAATAAATATCTATCTTCATAAAATAAAACATTATAATTTTAATATCTATCTATCTATCTATCTATATATCTATATATATATATATATCTATATATCTTCACATCTATGTATCTATCTATCTTATCTATCTTATCTATCTATCTATATCTATCTATCTATCTATCTATCTATCTATCTATCTCAGTCTGTTCATATATATATATATTTCACATCTATGTCTGTTCGTATCTATCTATCTATCATCTATCTATCTATCTATCTATCTATCTATCTATCTATCTATCTATCTTCACATCTATGTATCTATCTATCTATCTATCTATCTATCTATCTATCTATCTATCTATCTATCTATCTATCTATCTATCTATCTATCTATCTATCTCAGTCTGTTCATATATATATATATAGATATGTCTCTCTCTGTTCGTATCTATCTATCTCCTATTACCCGGCTCAGGTACTGAACTTGTAACTGCCAGAGAACCAGATAAGTTCCCCCACCCCATTCTATCATGTACATGATCATGTGTCTCATCATACAAGTTCAATCCCTGTGTCGGGTCGTGATGAAAAATCACAAACAAAACGCCAATAACAGACAATGAAGCCAATCGTGTAACTGCTGAGATGTAACGGGAAAAACTGTAGATATTTAATGCAATGGGAAAAAGACAGCCTATCTCGGAGAATGAATAAAGGATTCTTTTCAAATTACAAAGTACGACGACATATATCTAAAGAATGCCGGAGGACGCAGGGGGCCGTGACGTTGGGTGTATAACGACCAAGATGACCCTGCCCGTATGGGAAGGTATATAATTATTTTTTTTTTCTGGTCGGTGTAAAATAATCCAAATATTTGCGAAAGATAGACAACCTAAGAACGATCATAAAATGAAAGTGTTTGTTTTAGCGCAACAAACAATTAGATTTAATTAAAGAAATTTAATAAAAGAGCCGCGGTAATTTTACATCGGTTTACCTTTGTTGCGAAATGAAAATCCAATTTTCGTGATGTTAAGTGTTTGGAATTAAGTAAATTAAAGCGAGGTGCTCATTTTAATGAAGATCTGGGAAAAAAATCAACAGGTTTCCATTTGCATGGCGTACTTTTACTGCATAGTATTTCTTTATTGTTTTTAAGAAAATTAGAATCAAATAGATTGAATTTCTGAGAAAACAGGAAACCTTTATTTTTTCTTCTTCTCGGAACAATAAAAACAAAATAGATGCTTAACTTCCGGTTTCCTGTCGACAGAAAAAAATTATCTCGACTTTTTGAGTTCGGTTTTTCTTGGTTTTAATTTCCACACATTTAACTTGTTACCCTTTTTTGGTCAATGTCTTTCTTTCTTTCTTTTTCTTTCTTTCTTTCTTTTCTTTCTTTCTTTTTTCTTTTTTTATGTCGGTTTTGTTTCTTTCTTTTTCTTTCTTTTTTTTCTTTCTTTCTTTCTTTTTTTCTTTTTTCTTTTTTTTCTTTCTTTTCTTTGCTTTTCTTTCTTTTCTTTTCTTTCTTTCTTTCAGGCTTCTTTTTTTTCTTTCTTTTCTTTCTTGCTTTTCTTTCTTTTCTTTTCTTTCTTTCCTTTCTTTCTTTCTTTTTTTCTTTCTTTCTTTTTTTCTTGTCGGTTTTGTTTTCTTGCTTTTTTCTTTCTTTTTCTTTCTTTCTTTTCTTTTCTTTCTTTCTTTCTTTTCTTTTTTCTTTTCTTTCTTTCTTTTCTTTCTTTTTCTTTTCTTTTCTTTCTTTCTTTTTCAGGCTTCTTTCTTTTCTTGTCGGTTTTTTGTTTGCTTTTTTTTCTTTTTTTCTTTCTTTTCTTTCTTTCTTTCTGTCTTTTCTTTCTTTTTTTCTTTTTTCTTTCTTTCTAGCTTCTTTATTTCTTTCTAGCTTCGTTTCTCTTATTTTCTTTCAGGCTTTGGTTTCCTATCTGTTTTATTTGCTTTGTTTTATTTGCTTTTTTTTCTTTCTTTCTTTCTTTCTTTCTTTCTTTCTTTCTGTTTTGGTTGTTTTTCTTTCTTCATATTCTTTTTCTTCCTTCATTTCTTTCTTTTTTTCTTTCTTTTTTTCTTTTCTTTTGGTCTTCATTTTTAAATTCTTATTTATTTTTTATCTTCTATCTTTTTACTTCTTTTCATCTTCCTTTTCTGTTACTTATTCATTCTTTATCATTTATTCGTTCTTTCTTTCACGCTTCTTTCTTTCCTTCTTTCTTTCTTTCTTTCTTTCTTTTTTCTTTCTTTCTTTCTAGTCATTTCTTTATTCCTCCTTTGTCTACGTATAGGTGTAGGCTTCTGTTTTTCTTTTCTTTCTTTCTTTCTTTCTTTCTTTCTTTCTTTCTTTCTTTCTTTCTTTCTTTCTTGCTTGCTTGCTTTCTTTCTTTCTTGCTTGCTTTCATTCGTTCGTTCTTTCGTTCGCTTTTCTTTTTTTTTCTTTCCATCTTTTCTTTCTTTTTTCTTTTTGTTTTTTGATAAATTTTCCCAAGTCTCTACTAACTTGGATTTTCAACACTTTAGACTCTCTACCTCCCCTAAACGCGTATCTAAATAAATAAAACACCAAATCTCCCCCACTAAGCACGAATCGATTTCTACAGGAATTAAGTAAATAAACCTTTGTTCCCGACAGAAAACTTATTTTGTAATTCGATTTGATTTCCCAAATAAAAACTCAACAAACTTCCCCATTCTGTCGATTAAATTTGTAATTCGTGTTAGGGCAAAGAAGTCATTGTAAAGAACAGTCAAATTAAAATTTTAGCCTGCTTCATGGCTGAGGTCGTTACGCATTCCTCAAGTTCAGATATAATCCAAAATTTTAAATCTTGACGTTAGAAGCTCCTCATTTATAAAATTGTAGTAACATAATCATTGTACTTTTCAGTTACCTTCCGTTTTCTTCTGAATTCTTTCGGGGTTTTTTTTTCACCCCTTTACAACATTCGTATCATTTGTTTTTTGGTGGCAGTGGGGTGAAGAACTTGGTATGGACGCTTTGATGTGACGAGATATTTTGGACATCTAGCCAGCTCGAATTGGTGTGGACGCCTCAAAGTACCAAAGGTGTTTAAACGCCTCGATGTGCCGAATTACGTGGGATGCTTTGAGGTCCGGTGATGATTTCAACCTCACTTAAACTTAAATAGATTTAAACGCCTCGATGTGCCGAATTAGTTTGAATGCTTTGCTGTACTGGAATATTTTGGATATCTCGCCGTGGCGAACTGGTATGGACGCTTCGCCGTACAGAATAGGTATAAGGCCCTCGATGTGCCGAATTGGTCTGAACACTTCGATGTGCCAAATCATTTTTGATGTCCCTGAGATGCATGCCTCGCAGTACAGAAAAGGGTTTAAACGCCTCGATTTGTCGAAACGTGCCGATTCGTTTTCAGTAACTCACCGTTCCTAACTGGTCAACCAGCTAATCTTGAAGGCCATTAATATTAATTATGTTTGAGAGTCAAAGGTGGTACTTTATATCAAGGTTGGGTACCAGACTAAGCCAAGCGAAACATTTTCATAATTCTTGGTTTTCTCTTTCATTTTTTTATCTTTAAATTCAGTTATTTATTTTTCCACATCAGTATTCTTCTTTCTAATCTCTTTATTTAGGAAGTCTTTTAATCTTTACTTATTTACCATCTATCTTTATTCCTTCTTATTTCCTTTGTCTTCTTTCCTTCGTCCTTATTTTTTCTTTTACTTTTTCTTTTTTCCATATTTCCTTCTTCTTCACATTTTTCTTTCTTCTTTATTTCCATATTTCTTTCTTCTTCACATTTTTCTTTCTTCTTTATTTCCATATTTCCTTCTTCTTCACACTTTTTTCTTCTTTCTTTCCATATTTCTTTCTTCTTCACATTTTTCTTTCTTTCATCTTTTATATTTTTACTTCATTTTCTTTCGTTTTTCACTTAGATCCCTTTTCTTTATATCCTTCTCTTTCTTTCTTTCTTTCTTTCTTTCTTTCTTTCTTTCTTTTCTTCCTCTTTGCCGTTTTCTTCTTTTCTTTCCTCTTTCTAACGACCATTTGCAAACTGAAATCTTATAACTGCATCAAATACTTTGTAATATATGGCATATCTCCTTGTTTCAAGACCAAATTTAAATGCTGCCACCGACGAGACATAGCGCTGCTCGCGTTCCTTCCAGATAAAACCATTCTGTCGTCATCCCAGACGTCTGCTGGTAGAGTGCAGTTTGTTATCAAAACCTATTTCTTGAAATCTTTGGTGTCTCCATCGTTTTCAGCTCACACTGTCCGAATCACTGAATTCGACGCCTTGATTAAATGAACGTCATACGTTTTCCCGCCTTCGATCGGGCAATCTATTAATTATTGCTAGTGATTTAATTAATTTTCACGTTCGTTATCTGAAGGAGATAATTAAGGTACTTCGTTATTTTGCTAGGAAAATTTTATTATGATTTCCCTTGATAAAATACAAAAATAATAATTTAAATTCGTAATCATTTCATGATTTCAACCGAGGGATATATATATATATATATATATATATATATATATATATATACACACACACACACACACACACACATATATATATATATATATATATATATATATATGTTGGAAACTACTGATTTGCGATCTTTCCTCCGTTAGGCAGGCTAGCCAATCCCTGTTGCGGACGCCTGTTCAGGCCCATTTCTGTTTGTTTAACATCTAAAGATTCCACCTGTGGTGTATTCACTGACTGGGAGAGAGCGTATAGACCTGGCATAATTAACTGTTTGAACAAGGTCAGTACACTGAAACCCTCGGCCACGATGACTTGTGACTTCGTGCTAACACAACCATCGACGGCCTCCGAAAAACTCCATATACGGAACGCTTGGGTCAACATGTGGCTTGTTTTCCAGGCATTTTCCAATTCGGAAACATCAAGAAATCCTTCCAAACTCAAAATCGCCGCAAAAGAACATAAAAGAAAAATTATATCGTCCTCTGACAAAGAACTGACAAATCCAATCAGTTATGTACAATGCGTCATACAAGCTTTGGCGATCATGTATCTTTCAACACATGACTGAAGAGGCAGATTTTTACCGCAGCAAATTGTCATTTCTTTCTGCGGTAGACCAGTTGCCACCAAGGCTATAGAACCAAGTCTGTCCTGCTATTTACCCATAGCTGGGGGAAGAAGATGAGGATTCATACCTTTTCCAAGGGTATTAGTACGTAAGTGAACGTAATGCGTTCGACTAGAATTCGAACTCGGCTCTCCGATTCAGTTATGTGCCATGCGTGATACACTTTTAGGCAATCATGTATCTTTCAATACATGGCTGACAAGGCAGATTTTTCCCCAGTAGGTTGCCATTTCTTTCTGCGGTAGACCAGTTGCCATCCAAAGCTATAGAACCCTGTCTGTTCTACTATTTACCCATAGCTGGAGGGAGAAGAAGAGGATTCATGCCTTTCCCAAGGGTATTAGCACGTAAATGAATAGATTCGATTAGAATTCGATTCTCCAATCCGAGCTGCTATCTACCATTAATCCGATCCAATCGAATACTTAAATTTGGACAAATTGGATTATTACAAAAAAAAATTACACCACTTTATCGAGATCGATCTAAATTAACAAAATGATGTAAAAACACCATTGAAACTCTAAAGAAATCTGTAAACAAACTGACAACATCTAACAATGTCGATGTAGGATCGTTGAAAATCGATAAAATTGTTGAACATTACCAACCAGTATACCTATATGGACATTTAATAATACACAAAGCCGGATACTCAATTAATTTTATTCTATTCGTTCGTTACGCTTCTGTTGTAGATTTTAGTTTTTAATTGCAAAGTTGCAAATTGAATAATGTAATATTCAGAGTTTCGATTCTGTAACATGAAATACAATGTAACTTTATGCATTTATTGGCCACACAACCTGATCTCATCTAATAATTGGATATTGCTTTGTTATGATAGCATGAGGTATTTGTCAATAAACGAAAACATCTCATAACAATGGAATTTTCTTTTAGAAGGTGACATTAGGCAAATAAATTTGTTCCATTTGTTTGGTGGTAGTTTACTTGGGATATTTTTACTTTTTTACTGATTAAGAAAGCAGAATTGTTTTTCACATGTGGTTATAAAGTTGATTATTATCCACGCAAAAAGTATAACCATTGTTAATTGCAAAATGACTTAAATAAATCCACCATTTTTTACGGCATGCGTAAACTTAAAAAAAAAATGATTATTAAACATAAGAAAATAATGATTGATTTTAAATCATTGTTATATATTTTGTAGAGGAAAATGATGTGACCTCCATCTTCTGGATTTTTCCTCCTATATTTTGGATGAGAGTTATTCCCTTGCTTAAATTTAAATTTAATTTAAATCAGAAGGAAAAAAAGTCAGTGGGATATTTGTGCAAAAACAGTTTGATATGTATTTGATGCAATACTTTATTGAATGAATTGATCAGCAAATTTTAACATTGATATGACAGTTGAATTGTCGCAAGAAATATACATTGTAAGGCGCTACCCGCTAATTGGTGATTTCTTCTTCAACTTGACATCTATATTGCCTCTTTTGATCTTGCCGATGTTAACACCATCTTCTGGATTTCGCCTATATTTTGGAGAGCAATCATTCCCTTGTTCAAATTTAAATTTAATTGATATCAAAAGAAAAAAAATATAATTGGGGGTTATGCCCTCTCAAGGACCCCTTTGATCCAAGTGAAATATATTTATCCAAGTTCCGTATGAGTTATTCCCTTGCTCAGATTAAAATTTAATTTATATCAAAGGGAAAAAATAATTGGGGGATTTGTGCCCCCCCCCCCTGTGATCCTCTTTGATCAAAATGAAATATACTTATCCAAGTCCCCTGGGTAATATAGTTTCAGAATGTATATGCTTGCGGAGGGCTATCTCCAAAACCCGAGTTCGATATCAAACAGATAGACAGAGGCTACAATTTTATATATATAGATTTAACAAAGAGTTAATATTTTCTAAAAGTCCACCGCATTCTTTCTTTCATTTCTCCTTTAATGCTTCCGTTGCGTTTTCATTGTAGATGCCAATGTTTTATATGACAAAATGGTAAGTAGGGTAATATAATATTTACTATTGTGCATTTAATCAAGGCCAGGCTTTAAAGAACTGTTACTGTTTTTCTTTTCCCCCCTTTTAAACATTTTTTTTTATAAAACTGCCTCCCTTTTGTTTTCTATTCTGTTTAATTTTTCTGTTGCAAATCGATCAGAGAAAACAAATTCGCCTAGAAAAGCAAAACATGTCTCTTCTGTTTAAAACTGTAAGTAAAGGCTGTTGTTTTTGTTTCTAATTGTTAACGCATTTCTTAAAGCAAATGCATAATCCATTAAGTTTTTGGCAAAACCTATTAACAAATGGCCGTATGCCCATTGTTAAAGCAAATGTTTGCTTAGTCTTACGAGTGGGGAAAACTGAGAGGTCAACAAGTTTATAAAACTTAAGCAAAATGAAGGAAAAAACAATTTTGCCATAACCAGACGATTTCTCTTCTTTCCTTCTTAATCTTTCTTTCTCCCCTTTTCTCTCTCTTACTTCCCCCTTCTCTCTCTCTCCTTCTCTCTCTCTATCTCTCTCTCTCTCCATGTTTCTGCCAAATAAGAGGGTGTCTTGTTTGGCTCAAATGGTAGGAGAATTGATAGAACGCTGAGTAATTTGAGGTTTCAACTGCATCCCTAAACCATCGACAAATGGGAATAATTTCAGAAAAAGTAAAAATAAACATCGTTTTTTGTTTTACTATAACATACCCTTTCCTTCTTGGAACAATTTCGAGCCTCGTCGTTGCCATTATGAGAAATATTTATCGGCAAATCCTATTAGAGCAGAGTTTTCCATTTTTCTAATCACCGCCACCTTTGGGAAGAACCTTTTTTGTTAAAATCCCTCTGTCAAATTAAATTTCGAATATTATACTGAATTCATCTTTCATAGCAAGATAACACTTATATATTAGGGAAAAAACAATTTTAATGTTGTTTTCATTTCTGTTATAAATGCTTATAATTAAAATATTAAAGAAAACTTTTAGTTGATTGCTTAATGTTTTCAATGCGATGGTTGACTTTGGTGCTTACTGGCTAAAGACCTTACTCAAGGTTCCATGCTTCTTGGAAGTAATCGTAGATCTTCTCGTTTTGGAATTTGCAGGCGATTTCTTTGTTTAGTAAGAAGCTCTGGAACTGCGTTGAATTCAGCCATATAGGAAGTTAGAAAAACAATGAAGAAAAGTGTGATAGCTTTCCATAGCTTTAGATACTTTTCAGTAGCCAGTATTGAATATTTTATGGAAAATTGAAAAAAATCGACAAATGCCTACATATTGAGTATGTTTACCGCCCCTTAAATGAAATAAAAACTCCCAATGACCCCCTTTCAACATAACAGAACCCACAAGGGGGCGCCAGGGTCCACGTTGGGAAATACTGAATTATAGTGTATCATCGTTATTTTCGTCTTTTTACAGAGCTTTACTTCAAAAATTATTTTACAGACAAATCTACGACCATTCATATGTCCACTATTCTTTTTCTTCTTATTATTCTTTTACTTTTTTCTTCTACTTTTTCTTCTTTTTCTTCTTCTTTTTCTTTTTGTTCTTATTTTTCTTCTTCTTTTTCTTTTACTCTTCTTCTTCTTCTTGTTATTATTATTATTATTATTATTATTAATTCGATTACTGCTATGTGTCACACTATCTACCAAGTCTGTGAAAAGACCTAAGGCAGGTGTGTTGTTATGGTTACATTTCCTGATTTGTTTTTCTAACCCCCATAACATCATTTGCGTTACATGGACAAAGCTCTCAATGTGTGGGCTGTACTTATCAAGACATTTTTGTATTTTTATATTTTCTTAAGCTAGGATTTTCAGTGATTTTGTTGTTGTGTTCCTTTTTATCATTCCAAGCGAACCTATTCTAACTGTTACTATTCTTGTTTTTAATTTCTATTATTTGTGTTTTTTATATCATTAATATAAATCACCCTTTCTTATATTGGCCTCGTTTCTTGCCTGTGTTTACTATTACTTTCGTCTGGGATATTTTGACGGTTCAAAACTTAACTTTTTGTTATGTGTTGTTGTGTTCCTTTTTTATCATTCCAAGAGCACCTGCTATGAATTGTACTATTCTTGTTTTCAATTTCCACATTTTTTCTATTTCGATTTCCAGCTCTTTATACTTCCATAGATTTTCAAATTCCTTGTTGCTATTTTGCAGTCCACTGGATACGCCATAGCAATTAGGAGGCAAGTTTTTTCTTTTCGTTTTTTTGGCAATTACGATCAGTCTATTTGCATCAAACTTTCTGTCTGTAAAAATGGTGTAATCCCATAACATTGACATGTCTTCTGTTTCTGCAACCTGAACTGGGTGTTGTTCAAACCAGTCTTTATTAAATTCTTTTCCAGAGTGTTTGCACACTGCTTAGTGTAAATATAGCCTCAGTCTATCGTGATTATTTTTATATTCATTTGGCACAAGAAGAGAAAATCCTGAGATTATATGGTTTATGTTTTCCTGATATTTGTCACAGAATCTGCATTACTATTATTATTATTATTATTTATTATTGTTATTATTAATATCATTATTATTATTTCCTTTGATTTCTGGTATGTCCTCATTTCTTTCCAGGTCAGAAATGGCATCATGACATTTTCCACCGAGCAATTAAAAAATAACAAAAAACTAAAACAAAAAAAATACATATTTTACATAGATAAAGCCCTTCGTCTATGTGTGGGCTGTACTCACGAGAACATTTTTTTGTATTTCTTTAAGGCATGGGCTACTATCAATTCCTTCAATGAGTCTATCGGATTCTTTTCCAATCAATCCGAAGGCTCCAACTACAACGGGGATTGTTGATGTTCTCTTGTGCCACACTTTTGGGATTTCGATATCATGGTCCTTGTATTTCGACAGCTTCAAAGATACATTGCAGTCTGCAGAAACTGCCATATCAATAAGGAGGCACTTTTTTTTGTTTGTTTGCGGTTTCTAATAATGATGTATGGGCGGTTGGCTTTGATTGTTCTGTCAGTGTGTATTGTGTAGCCCCATAAAATTGTTACAGGTCTTATCTCTGAAACGCGGTCTGGGTGGTGTTCATACCAATTTCTTTCAGTTTCCTTCCAGTAGAAGTTCCGAATTTTCCAGTGCAGATATTGGCCACTCTGTCATGCTGGGTGCTAACACCGCACAACCTGATACAAGATGATCAATTGTTTCTGGATATTTATCACAGAATCTGAATTTTGGGCTGATACAATATTTTAGTATATGTGCTTGATAATTTCTAGTTAACAAGCATTGGTCCTGTGCAGCAAGGATAAAACCTTCACTTTCAGCTTTTAACCCTGCACTACGTCGTCACTGATGGGTATGGGGTTTGTCTGCATCTGTTTGTTTGGTACGGGTAGAGTAATTGCCATGAGGCGAATTAACTTGCCATTGTTTCTGTATCTGGTGGGTTCCATTTGTTTTTGCTTTCTTTTTTATGTATTTTGCACCTTCAGTCTGTGTATTGTGCTTTACTTGTATTTCTACACCCATTTGAAACTACATATTGTACTTGTTTGCTTCCTCAAAATAGTAACTACTTTCATGTTCTTTGACACATACCATCATCCAGTCTTCTGTAGTTTCCAGGTATCTTTGAAGGCCAATTGTTGCAGTTTTGTAAGACAGTTCTGGTTGAACTAATTCTCTACCTCCTCCGGATCTGGACACATACAGACGATCAATATCAGCTTTGGGATAATGCATGCGGTAGCAAGTGAGAAGCTTTCTCGTTTTGGCAGCCATTCGCTTAATGTCAGCTATGGTCCAGTTAAGGATGTTGAAACAGTATTGTGCTACAGGGACAGCCATGGTGTTTATGGCTGATATTCTGTTTTTATGAATCCAGCTTGTTATTCCGTACCAGACGCACAGACCTGTAGTACTCCTTTCTTACCTTCTCCTTCATTTGGGTAGGCTGTATACTATCTCTTTCGTTAATTCCTAGGTACTTATAGGCTTCATCTTGTCCCAGTTCCCTAATCATTGTGATTATTATTATTATTATTGTTTTTATTTCCTTTGATTTCTGGTGTTTACACATTTCTTTCAAGGTCCCGCCCAGAGACCGAAGCTTAGAAATCTCACAAGGACACTTTCCACTGACAAAAAAAAAAAAAAAAAAATACATAGATAAAGCACTTTGTAAAGTGTGGGCTGTACTTGTGAGAACAATTTTTTGCATTTCTTTAAGGCATAGTCTTCCAGGAATCCCTTCAATTAGTCTACTGGAATCTTTTCCAACCAATCTTAGGGCTCCAACTACAACAGAGATTGTTGATGTTCCCATGTGCCACATTTCGATTTCAAGGTGCTTGTATTTTGACAGCTTTTTGAATATCTTCAAAGATACATTGCAGTCTGCAGGTACTGCCATATCATTAAGGAGGCACTTTTTTTTTGTTTGCAGTCTCTAATAACAATGTCTGGGCGGTTGGCTTTGATTGTTCTGTCAGTGTGTATTGTGTAGTCCCATAAAATTGTTACAGGTCCTATCTCCGTAACCGGGTCTGGGTGGTGTTCATACCAATTTCTTTCAGTTTCCTTCCCGTAGAAGATATTGGCCAACTCTGTCATGCCGGGTTTCATACTTAGTGGGTGCCAATATCGTGCAACCTGATATAATTATTATTATTATTATTATTATTATTATTATTATTATTATTCTGCTTCGCTTTTTTGTTTTACGTGGCACAAGTTGCGCACAAGTCTCATCAACCAGAGATTCCAAGAAACAAGTTATTTTGTATCAGATGCAAACAGATGAAACGCAATATAGTCGGGGAAAAATGGAATTGTGGTGTAACTGCACGAAGAGAAATCTACGCAAGACGCGAGAAATACCCAGGGGTATGATTTTTTGCAATTCCTATATTTTAGGGCTGCCAGGCATTTGATCTCCATATTTCTTTGCTTCTTTGGAAGCCCCACCAAAACTAACAGGTAATTTTGTTGTCTTGAGATTACACATTCTACCGATTTCTGACATTGAGGACATTGTAATTACTTATTAATCCAACATTTTTCAAAGATGTGTTTTTGTCGGCTGGGGGCTCAAAACATCTATCAGATATTTTCAATATGATTTTTATTATTATTTAATATTATTATTATTATTATGATTGTTTTTATTTTCTTTGATCTCTGTTGTATACAGATTTCCTTCCGGGGTCCAAACCAGAGACTTAAAGTCAGAAGTGACTTTGTGATATTTTCCACTGCTCATTTTATTTTTGTGAAAAAAAAAGAAAAAAAAAAAGAAAAAAAAAGAAGGAAAAGAAAACCTAAGATCAACGCACATTTTATATAGAAAAAGTTCTTCGTAATGTATGAGCCGCATTTGTGAGTATAATTATTTGTATTTCTTTAAGGCATCCCAGAATTCACTGAGTCTATCGGAACATTTTCCAATCAAAACGAGGGCTCCAACTACAACTAGAATTATTGGAATCCTCAAACTTCTTCTTCTTCTTCTTCTTCTTCATTATTATTATTATTATTATTGTCGTTGTTTTATTTC